CTCAATTAGAATTCACTTTCTTTGAACAGAAAAACAAAAGCCACACCTCTGAAGAGAAAACAAATTTGCTAATCTCCTTAGTGTGTAGAATTTTATAAAAAAAAAATAAACCTAAAATGAATAAAACTAGCACAACATGGAAAAAGGAATTACAAAACATTAACTCTTCACATTTAAAGAGCAATACATTTAATAGTATATTTCATATACACTTTATAATGTACATTGTATAAAAATGTATTTCAACTAATAAACAAGACCTGGAGATTAGACAAAACAGGAAAGAGTTTATCTCAATAGCAAACAAAGCTGGAATTATCAAATTATTTCTCTGCTTAGGTAGCCTCAATATTTGGTTTTAGCTTTACCATAAATAAATAAATCTACAATCCTACAAAGTCATTCTTAACCACTTGAACTACTGGGGCAAAGCAGCAATTTCAGCAACTTCTAAAATTACAAGAAGGCTACCATTTAGAACATTTACAGTCACACAGAAAACTCAAAGTTAAATGGCCTGGCACTAACAAGCTTCAAGATTACCATCAATTATGGTTGTACAAGTAAAAAATAGTGTCTTCTAAAGACTAATTCTGCTAAATGAAACCAGTGGAGTCTATTCCTTTTATTCAGAAGTACCATACTGCTAAATAGTCAAGTCCACAGGGAAATAGCATTTCAATAGCTGCAACTTGGTGCATCTGGCTTTTGTTGGCCTTCCTTATCCAAGAAACATAGATGTCTCTCTTTACTTAGCCCATCTGCCACAAGTGATAACCCGATGCCTGTGTGACTATTCAAAATTTTTAAAAAGTACTCTCCCTTTCCAAAATCTAACAGCAGAGATGAGTCCAATGGTTCAAGATCAAAAAGAACAGAACTTCAATGCTTCAGTAAAAAGCTTATGAACAAAAGAAACAAAGCTTTCAAGTGATCYAATGGTTCACCTTTAACACACTACCTAGTACCACTGCTGACAGCACCTGCTATGGTATCTGCTAAYATATTTTTTTAATCAAACTGAAGTTCTAAATGCTTCATATTTAATTCTCACAGCAACCCTGTGAGGTAATATTAATATTAATTCCACAGTGCGGATGAGGAAACTGGGGCTCAGGACAATGAAAAACACTCCCTAAGATCTTACCATTATTGAAAAGCCATGATGCAGAACACTGGCAACTTGTAGCCATAGTCCATAGTCTCAAAAGTTATACCAACTCTAATCCCATTTATCAGGAGGAAGAGTAACATCCTATTTTTTGGAACTATTTAAGTAATGGAAACAAATGGTTTACTTTAAGATATTCTAAGTACCCAGAGCTAGGGAGTTACACCAAATCATACCAAGGGCCAATATCTACAGATAGATATCTAGCATAAAACCAGCCATGTAAACCAAACTGCCCTTTAGTAACAACAAATAAGACCAGATAAACAAAACTTTTGTTGTGACCCGATTCCTTTCCACTAATAACATAATACTGGAATCTTGTTTTTTCACAACTATACAAACACCCACAACTCCATTTCTCTCCTAAAGAAAAGCCTGTGTCATAATACAAAAACCAAACTTGTCTGTCTGGCCTCAAAAAGATCTTAGATATGTATATAGACTTTCATCCTTTTGAAATATCCCAAAGTGGTAGTCATATGATGACAGCAAATCCTGTATCTGCTCAAGTTATGGCAGCCAACCATTGTTTTTATTGTTTCAACTAGTTAAAACAAAGCCCTAGTCATGTTTTAGAAATTTTGGCTGCTTGTAACTTGCATCCCTAGAGCCACGAAAAAATTTAAATTTTAGGCATCAAGAACTAGATTTCAAAAAGGTTCTCTTCATCCACTGGATGAGTGCCTGAAGCAAAATAAAAATAAAACATATTTATCATCAAAATACACAAGGATAAAAACAATACACTGTGATGGTGACTCATAGACCTGACCCTCAAGAAACTTGTGTTTTAGCAGGCAAGATGACATCCATACACTAGTAATTACAGTACTAGGCAGTGTGTAACAAAGTATTAAAAAATTCAAGTTTGTGTCTATAGTGTATAATAATTGTATTATTAATAAAGGTGGAAGCTATTGTCATTTCTCTGGGATAAGTGCATAAAAAGTACCTGAAGGGAAACATATCTTTCATCCAGCTTTACACAACTGAAGAGGCAGCAAGCATATAAAAGGTGCAATAAAATGAGTATAAATTTCAGAAAATCTTTATATTAGTCCAAATGTCACAGTACAGCTAAATATTCAAGGCACTACAAAGTTTTGGTAGTAACCCTATGAAAACATTTTACTGTAAATTTCTTCTAAAATCAATTTAAATTTTATTTTTCATAGCAATAATTTCATCACATGGTCTATGATGCAACAGAAGGAAATCAATCACCAGGTTATTACTGGCCTCCTTTACTTAAAAACAGAATTCACCTACTCAGCTAGACTGTACAGTATTTTCGGATTAAAATAACATTTCACACCAAAGATAAGAAATGACATGCTCCCAAAATATTCAGATATGTTTTGCTATTTATTTTACTTTATAGCAAATTCTGTATATTCTATACATAGATACATTCTCAAAGATTTTGGTGTAACAATTTCCCATGTGAAGAAAAATGTGCAAAATTCACTTACGCAGTTCCCTCAAATTTGGAAAAATGTAACTTTATTTCATTTATGCAAAATGATCAAAAAGAGTTGTATTAATTTTTTAGGATAAGAATTAAAATATATAGCAGACTCTACATTACCCTTTTACTTTTAAAAGAGTGATTATATCTACAACTCCAGTCTTACCACTTGGATTTCTAAAGGCCTTTTATTTTGAAAACTTCAAACATTTTCCCATGCCTTATTTCAATATGATCTTTTGATTCTTGGATAATTTTCTTACCTGTTGTATTTACAGTCAATAGTTATTCAAAATGAACACAGGTCATCTGATATGACCACTCCAATTCTCCACTAAAGGAGAAAAATTCAGAAGGAAAATACAACAGATAGCATTAATGAAAGTATATACAGGCTAAGGGCATATACTGAAAATTCCATTAAAACAAAACAAACACCAGAAAAAATACAAATGGTATAAAAATCATTTTTGCTTGGAACACAATTAAGTAAGGTGACAAACTAGGACAATACCAAACGATAGGAATGTTTGGGCAGAATGCAAAAAAAGCAGAAATTGTATTATTAATAAAGGTGGAAGCTAGGTGTTGATCCCCTCTCACACTCAAAATGGACAGAAGACGCTGCAAACAAAGTCCAGGGGAAGTGAGTCAGATGGTAGCCCTGAGGTCAAAGGAGTTCATTAAGTCTCATATATACTATGAAATAAATCTTGGGAGTCAATATCCACAAACTCAAGTGAGGTCATCTCAGAATATCATTCATAGAACAGCCATATTAAAAGATTAAACAATAGCATTTGATTCATTAATCCAAAGATCACAATATTGACTTTTTCTTCTTAGAGTCTTAAAGTGCAATTCATTTCCCAATGTTCACATTTCCCATTCCTGTTAAAGGAAACCACCCACTTCTTCACACATACATTAAATTACTTCAACTGGAGACACTGAACCTCAATTCCAGATTAAATATAAATACTTAAAATAAAATACAGGACTCAAAACTCCTATTCTGGCTATCCATCATTTAGGAGAGCCCATAGTAGCAGGTCATTACAATTACAATACATTACATAACATGAAAAGTGAATACACAGCATGAAAAGAAGTGGGACTGGGGATCAAGATGACACTTTTTTGCTTAAGAGAAGTCAATCTTAAGCAAAAGAAATGGAGGACAAAACATAAGCTGTGTTGGACATAATTGCTTCTGTAACAATTTCATTTTCATCATTAATCTTCAGTTTTACATAAAGAGCTTTGTTCCCACTGACCACAAAAATGTTATTATTGCAGTATGTATATGCGACCTTTCCAGTATGCCACATAAAAGTCTCATTTACTGACCTAAAATGGTTTAGGAAAGTATAAAACCGTTAAGTAGTTTGTAAAGCTAGAAAGAGCATAAACTAATGAATAACTGGGTATTTCAAACTCTGAATAATTCTTTCAACCAGATAGTGTTAAAAGTCACTTTTCAATTTGAATGAACTGCCATTTTCTGAGACTTTGAAAGAGACAGAAAATGTTCTTAACCCTAAACACAGAAGCTCACACTAATTACTGCCAGTGTCGCTTTGGATCTGCAGGTGACAGATGCAGTCGGAGTTCACAGATGTGGACTGGCTGCAGTTTGCGTCTTATTGCAATAAGCACACTGAGAGATCCTGCAAATGCACATCTCCGCAGGAGAGCTTTTTAAAAAACCGTCATTCCCTATTCGATTTATTTTTAAGGCTCTTATTGGCTATTATTAAGCTATTATCCCTACTCTTCATTCTTACCCTATCCTACCCACAATTCGGTACCAGATCCTTATTCATCAAGCCTAATTTTGGTTCAGTAATAACAATGATAATAAACTGGGGCTGTTAACACTGGCAGCACCAGGCGCCCATGAAGCCGCTATCTGGGAGCCTTCCCGCTGCTGCAGAGGCCACTTGAAGTTTTCTGGGAAGCAACGGACCCCAAGCATCTTTGCAGGGTTCCTCTATTCCCAGGTTGAGGGTTCCACAGAGACAGACGGGGAACTCCCTTCCCGGTCTTTCCCAGCGGTGGYTTACCCCACACCCGACTCGATAAAGATCCTAGGCAGGGACGCCCCACCCCCACCCCGTTATCCCTAATGAGATGCCCCCAAATCATTCCCGGTCCTCCTAAGACTGGTCCCTCCCTCGGCCACCGGGCCAGTTTCCCACATCTCACTCCTCTCCTCCAGTCCCCGCCCCCGCACACTCCACCCGCAGCGCGGCCCTGGCTCGGCACACGCCCGCCCGGCGACCAGACGCCCGGCGGCCGGCGCTGGGGCCGCCCAGTGGCCCGCCTCCCCCCGCCCAGGATCGCCGACGGGGTTACCGTGGGAAGACGGGGCGGCCGCAGAGGACGCGGCGGCAGCGCTGCTGCCGGTTGCGTCGGATGCGAAGGAGAAGCTGGAGCACAAGAATGAAGATGAGGCGGGCGCGCTCCCCAGTCTCCATGGAACTCCCGCCCCGGCCCGTTGCTAGGAGCCCCCGAGGCTCGGGCTCCGTCTTTCGTGCTTTGTTGTTCCGGGTACAGGGCGGCCCCTGCTTCCCCGCGACAATAAATAGACCAGACGCGGAGGAGCATAGAGACGGCGCGCATGGGCTAGAGCGCCACCGGACAGGGCGCTCTGGGGCTCCTCGCTAGCCACTCATTTCCGGCTCTCTCTGCTCCCGTCACTTTTCCCCGCCCCTGTCCCCTTTCCCTTTTCCTCCTTCCTGGTACCAGAGTCCGGCCCCTCCTGACCTCAGGTTTAGCGAGGCTGGCGTGACATGGGGCGATGAGTGGTCTTTGGCCGGACTTTTTTTTTTTTTTTTTTTTTTAACTTGAGAATCGCTTGAAAAGATTGTAAATAATCCGCATCCCTCGTATATTTTTAGTTGATTTCTAAACGTGTCATTTCTGGGTACTTTATACATAAATGGACTTTAAATTTTTGTCAAACCTCAGAACTTTCTTGTCCGTTCCATTTATACAAAATGTCTTTCGTATCACGATTAAAGTAGTCTTTAACCACTAAACGATTCTGTCACTATTTTAGTCAAACGCGTTAATTTACGACGTCGCGGTAAAGCTCTTACTGAGAAATTCGAATCCTAGTCCTAAAAGAGAGCGGCAGGGGATGATGGAGAGAGAAAAATGGACGGATAACGAGGGAGCTTATGCCACTTCTGTCGCCTGTTCCTTCGATAGTCCTTACTCAACTTGGGTTTACGGTCCGAGCTCTCCCTCGGGCGGGGGCGCTTCGGAGGCTTTTGCGCCGGGTAGCCGGATGCCGGAGTGGGAGGAGGGAGAGCGCGGCTGCCGGCGGCGACCGGCGCTGCGCGGAAGCGGCGGATCTGGCCGGTCGGACTTTGGGAAGGTGCTCCCACTTAAGCGGGGCGCCTGGGGACTGAGACCCTCCTGCGGTTCTGCGCCCAGGAAGCCCTGCAGCGACCCGGGGAGCCCCGGGCGCACACTCGCCGGTTTGAACGGTCGCACCGGGACCCGAGTGCGATCTCGGGGCTCCTCGGGGGTGGCGGAGAGGAGCTGCCCGCGGGAACGAGACTCATAACGGCCCCGGGAGCGCCGCCGCGTGGAACCCCGCTCCCATGCGGGGCGCGGGTCTCTGTTCCCCCAGCTGGCCTGCAGCCTTTGATCCGGGCTGAGCCAATGGGTAGCCCCGATTTAATTATTAAAAGACCGTGCATRAGATGGATTCATAGGTGCCTGGCTTCCGATTGTTGTGAATCAAGAATGCAAATGGAAATGCCACTGAACATTTGAAGAAAACACAGGCAGAATTCTGAGGGGAGTTTGCAGCTACTGGGGTATTTAATTATTTATCGGATCTCCAAGGATACCTCTTGATCTTTTGCTTTCCACTGAGTGTGAAAAGCACTTTAAAGCTCTGTAGACCGATTGGATTTGTTTCGAAATCTAATTTTATTTTTGAGGAATATTAAATAATTGTGTCTTGTCTCAGATAGAATGAAGAAAATAAGAAACTGGGTTAGAAAATAATGTTTGTATTGYGCTTTTCAACCTATTTCTAAAAGAATGGGAGTTGGAGGGAAGCACATATAATGTTCCAGGCAGAGTGAACAGGATATGTGAGAGCTTGCTGTGCTGGGAAATTAGCATGGCTAAGGCATCTGGAACATGGGAGAGAGAAGAGTGACAACAGAATTTGAAGATACATTAGGACCTTGAAACCGGGCAGTACCCTGTAGGCCATAAGAAGAGTTTGGGTTTTCTTCCAAGTGGTAGGAAAAGTAAGGTTGTAAAGTAGAGGAAAAATATGACCTATTTACCAAGGCAAAGGCAGGAGCAGTGGAATGCTCTATTCCAGTAACTATTGCCACTGCTGAAAAGTCCATTTTATAATGGTGACCTATTCCAAAGCCCTTACAAGGCACTGTCCTTTAAGGAGACCAGCAACAAGATGGCTAGAAGCATGCCAATTTCTTTAGATTCCCTTTTGTCATGGATAAGTCAACCATTTTCCTCTCTACCATAGTTTCTCATTATGGAATTGAATGTAGTTTCACTGCAAACACCATTTTAATGTGTTTAATTAATAATAGACTTTGTGAATACTTGTATGCTATCACAGTATCCCAACACTATTTCTCTAACCAAGAAATTCACTTCAAATGAAAGAAGTAAGACAAAAGTTCATGGGACTCATTGCTTTTTTGAAGTGCCCCATTATTCATATGCTAGGTAAGAAACAATGCACTCTAAAGTAGAATACACTACRTTCTAAGGCTCTAGATTAATATAGAAGTTGACATCTGGAAATGGGTAGATGGAAGGTCCAGTTCTAACATGTAGAATTGGCTTAACCAAGGTGCATTTGTAATGGTGAGGAGCCATCCATCTAGGCTAGAAAAATAGCAAGTATTATTTGTTATTTCAGTGCTATTGAAAATGTAATATACAGACCAAAGTCAATCTGCAAGCCATAGTAAGCAGCAATGTTATGAATATAGAAGATTCCTAAAACTTTTAACAATTTGACATTACAGTGGCGTCCAAGAAAGCAATTTTCTATTTATGAAAGCATTGGTGATGGGTTGGTAACTAAAAAACAACAACAACAACAAATGAATCCTTTACCATAGACAGTTTGAGACACTGGTACATTATTTGTTATACTCAGTAAAGATGTAGCTTTTGGGAACATGACAAAAAAACAAAACCAAAACAACAACAAAAACAACAGGCTGTTAGGCTGTTGGGAAATGTTGACTGCTTCTTGTCTCCCTTAGTGCTAAGAGGCCTGTGATTCAGCATGGCTTTTCCAAAAGAGACAGGCAATAAAAAAAATCATATTGCATTGTTCCGAAGAGTTCTTGCTGCCAGTGGGTTAGTTATCCTATCCTGACATTATGGTTTGGATGTGAAGCGTCCCCCAAAAGCTCACATGTGAGACAGTGCAAGAAGATTCAGAGGAGAAATGATTGAGTTGTGAGAGTCAACCCAATCAGTAAATTAATCCCCTGATAGGTATTAACTGAGTGGTAACTGAACTGGTAAAGTGTGGCTGGAAGAGGTGCAAATTAGGACATGGCTTTGGGATATATATATTTGTAACTGGAAAGTGGAGACCTCTCTCTGCTTCCTGATCTCATGTGAACTGCTTCCCTCTGCTACACACTGCCATGATGTTCAGCCTCACCTCAAGCCCCAACAAATGGAACTGACCTTCTATGACTAAGACCTCTGTGAGTCCTCAAATAAACTCTTTCTCCTCTGTAACTGTGCTGGTTAGGTCTTTTAGTCATAGAAGCAAAAAAGGATAAGGATCAGATATCTGTTCTGCCAGTTGGAATAACTAAACTTTCTGCCTCACATAAAGTTATTACATTAAGTATGAGAATAAAGAGTATAGAGTCAGGGATGTCTTGTTTCTCAGGATTCTCCCCAAATATTTTCTGTTATGTTTCTTCACCATAAAGATAATTCCTCCCATTTTGTCACTTGAGTGGTGAACAACTTAGGGATGGAGTCTGATGCTATGACCTGGCTTTATAACCCAAACATGTTTTCTCCTCCTCCCCTCAGAGAAACTGTGACAAAAGTCACTGAACTAAGATCTCTCAAAGATTATCAAAAGTTGCCCGGCTAGTTTCAAAGAGGTAGAAACAGGAAGGACAAGGTCCATATTCAAAGCTCATTTCTCAGTGAGATTTTTGATAAGAAGCTAATGGATTTCCCCAAATGACACTGACTGGCAGCCAAGTGAACTTTTAAGGTATGACAGAAAGTCTTCAATCTGGAAAAAGTTACTTACTGTTGAACTTTCTCAAAGGCGATGTCCCAGGCTTCAGATCTACTATGTCCATCCTTCTTACTTACTACATATCTAAGGCAGTGTCTTTGAGACAAGGGGAAATCTTGGAATTTTGATGGAATAACCAAAGATCTTAGTTGTCTGCTGGAGAAGTGCAGTCTTTCTTTTACTGTTCTTGCCTAGCAGGATATGGAATATCCTTACCATCATTGCACGCTGTTTTTCCTTTTCCATTTTCTTATTAGTTTTTGTCCTGTTTTCCCCTACTTCTCATATATTTGTGCACTAGTGATAATTTTACTAATTATCATTTAGCCTGATCTGGATCTGATCAGAATTGACAGCACTTGAAGCTCCCAAATTTGGGGCATAATTCAGTAGCTGGATGTGACTGAGTTTTCTACTATTACTGTAGTAGGACAGTTGCATATATTTGAAATGGCAAATGGAATAGTTCATTTATATTAAGGGGAACTATAGATATAAGGCAAAGGTGTATGTGTGCATGCACATATGTCTCCTTTTGTGTGTGTGTTCATACATGCTTTGAGCAGCCAAAGAGTGAAATGTAGGGGAAACTTTTCTTTATTAGCCTAGAACTCATCTCCTTTTTGGGAAGAGTGAGTGTTCTTCTCCCATATTTTGAGGAGCTACTTCTCTCTGCCTAGCCTAAACTGACTACAGTGTCCTTGGTGATTATAGAAAAGTATGTTTTTGATCTAGGTTGGGCCAACTATATAGTATCCTGCTATAATTGATTTATTGCCTGTCATTTCCAAATTCATTGTTCTGTGAAGATGGATCTGGACTCTTAAGTTCTCTTAGTAAAGAATGCTGGCTAAACATTGAAATAAGAAAGTTCTAGCATGTCCATCAGACAGGCTTCTGCAATAAAGAAGTCCTATCTAGAATCCAYCTTCTGTAGCACAAGTGGTTTTCCCAACCCTATTCAGGGGTCTAAAGGATAGTGGTAAAGGAAACTTCTATTTGGCATAATTCAGAGYGTTTGTCCAGCATATCAAGAGTGAGAGATCCAGAATTGGCAGTTGCYAATGAGTTGTTTATAAGGTTAAGTCTTAGGAGGAATGGGATTGGAAAGTAGGTGGCAAGGAAGTCTGGAGAAAAGGCAGACTTCTTCAAATAGGTGCAAACTGTTAAGATATTTATGTCCTAACTGAAGACACACCAAAGGTATACGTTGTAGAGGAGACTGTGGATAGAATGGCACACCCTGAAGATGTCAGTCAGTATCTTTACTCAGTCACTCCACTGCCTGATCAATAGACCTATGCTCTGCCACAGTCTGGCTGGGCACAAATCACGAGCCACTGAAGCAGGAACAAACTTTATTTCTGAGCTCCACCAGCACACTCCACACACGCTCCCCAGGAACTCTCCAGAACACCATGCGGCTCCTCCAGGAACCACCAACAGGAAATCCCTCCTCCGGCACTTCCCCAACCAATGCGAACTCTCCAGGAATCCCAAAG